ATTCAATTGTGTGTGTTGTTAAATAAGGCTTTTCTTACCTTTTAACCAGGCGTGCGCTCCAATGGCATGCGTTTAAAAAATGAAGCCAACCAGCTGCCCGAAAAGAAAGGCATTTCTAGTGCACACACACATTCTTATAAAAATGTACTTTTTTAGGCACAAAAGTAGCTAAGGACGTTTAGCTCTCGTTGTATCATTTAGAAAACGAAACAGATACCTCTTATATACATACATATGTATGTACATTTTTTGTGAAAAACATAATTACTTTGTCAAAACTTGGTAAAAAGTTACCGCAGGGAACTCCGAAAAAAAATTTTACACGAAAAAAATTCATACATATATGGGAAATTCCATGTTAATAAAATTTTCATATGTAGTACAAAAAAACGCATAAACATGCATACAAAAATCCAAGTCAACCAAATAAAAAATAATAATAGTTTTAGAAACCAAAATTTATTCACATTCATAATTCGTTTAACCAGGAATTTTCCATTTATTAGTTCACTTTTCATTCCTCATTCTCCCGTCATGTAGTAGAAGATCCGAATTAGGCACGACCTTTGCCCATCTGTTTAATGGATGAAATCTATTTTGTATGAAATTTAACGTGTTAGGGAATATATCGCGAGGGGGTTGGGCTGAAAAAATCGTGGCCAGATATTTTTAATTAAATATTCAAAAGTTATAAATTTTTTTTTTAATTTTGCACTTATTTGTTTAATGAACAAATTACATATATACCAATCGAAAGCATAAAGCCTATAGAATGTGTTTAACAGATGCAAGACCATATGCACAAGATCCTGAACAGCCCTAATATGTTTACGCTTTCCATATACCATACAGTACTAAGAAATCCTAAAGATCAACCAAAATTCTTTTACAGAAAGATATGTATGTATAAATATTCGTGGTGTATCGTATATTTGTATACACATTCGCAAAGTTTAGTTCATACCAACCCTGCAGGAAAATGGGGGAAGTTTTCTGTCTTTTACTTACCACTATCAGACCAGATAGAGAGTACTTACCGCCGAAAATAGAGTTTCAAAAACCTTTCGGCGCCATTTTCCTCTGACATCATCTAAGAAGATAAGGCCTTCTTAGCGTTAGCCATTCTAAAAGCTTACCTTAGAAGGGGTGAAAGAAGGGTCTTCCAGCATTCCTTCTCTTCTATAATTGTGTATTCGTTTATTCCTAAAAATTGTAAAGTGAATAGTTTTGCCTACTTATCCTTGCCTAGCTAATGTATTTAAAACTACTATCGCCGTTTTAAGCAGTAATCTGATTTGCAGTGCAGAAATCTCCGCTGATAAAGCTTCAAAGGGCAGAGAATGTGCGTTGTTTACCTTACTAGAGTGTGACATTAATGAAATAAGCAGCAGTGCACCCTAAAAAATCATTTCTGGAAACAATTCTGTGGGTAGCGAAAGTAGAAGCCCTTCGACTTGTGCCAGCTCATTCCAAAAATAAAGGAGAAAGAAATGCCGAGTGGAAGTCCTTTTGATGGATTTTTAGCTCCTGTAAATATCTACGGAAGTAAGATAATTTTTTCGGGTAATATGATTGTTTTATCTTTCAGACTTTTTGGGTATTTTTTTTTCGCCTGCGACGATTGTGAAAGCCCCTGTCCCTTTTAATCTCAGAAACTTTTAACAAAATTTATTTCTGTGCCCTGAAATGGTTATTCTTGGCGTGGTCACTCCTTTGCCTTGCTGCTTTGCTTTTGTTGTACTGATCCTAGCCTCTTCCGATCTCACATCCTCTAGATCACTGAGAAAGTGACCGCGAAGTGTTTTTACTATCGCTGGGTTATGGCATAGCAAGTTTTGTGAGGTCTCCTTCACTTCGTCATCAAAAAACCTTCTGCAGTAGTCGGTCTGCGAGGAACAAGTCTAGCGGTCCTGTAGATTAGGCCTACAGGCAAACGACTACTGTTGTAGCTGTCGTGATGTTGAGGAAATTGTTTCGTTTTTCCGTTATGATTATGAGCGTCTTTCCGAACTAGATTCAGCCAGTATCTACGATTTTGAACGCTTGGCTGGTTAGCGGTGCGTACTACCACTCCATGGGACCAATGGCGGATACATTTATTATTTATTTTTCATGCAAATATAGGTTCGAGAATTTTTTATGAAGGGTGACGTAAAGTGTTTTGTGATATAATATTACTTTTCATTTTGTGAAAATATATATCAAGGACTAATATGTTAACTACCACATCCTCGAATTTCGTCCTTCTAACTTTATTAGTTTTGGATAAAGAAAATTTTACACTTCTCTTAATAAGATATTGATAGTTACAATATACATACGTAAATAAAGATACTTGAATCATTATTATGGAACCATGTATGCACTAAAAAAAAAAAAAAAACTGAACCCATGTTGTACGGTTTAAGTACTTTAATTGTTTTGTATACAAGGGCGTAGCCAACCTTTCACTTTGAGGGGCAAGAGTTTATATAGAGGAAAAAAATGTTTTTAATTCAAATTTTTTTTGTGTATATAAATACAAATTTTTGGGTTTAAGAAAGTATAAGTTTTCTGGTATCCTTTAGAACGATACCAATTTTCTAAAAATCGGTTTATAATTTTTTTGTTTAAAATATTTTCTTTATAAAAAAATGTATTTTTTTTTATTTAAAGTGTTTTTTTTCAAATTTTTATATACGAAGTATACAAATATGCATACCAGAAAAAGGGGGTTTAATCACGTTCACAACGATAGCATATAAGTTTAAAATTGTCAAAATTAGGTTATATACCATTTAGATAAGAATAGGCGGACTCGTCTATATTTTTAATTTTTTAGTTATTAACATATAATAATAAAAAATAATTTTTTTTTACCAAAGGCCCTATTTTGAATTTCGAAGGCCCATATCTCTATTTCGGAGGCGAGGCCACCACTACATGGCAGTTCCAAAGCGGCTACTCAAAGCGGCTACTGGACAGCCGAGGAGAAGGCCTTGCGGGGTAGAAATAGGGGGAAGAAGGTGGCTGCTCGCGGCCGTAGAGACCGCAAATAATGCCATCTCTCCCTAAACACAACGCAAACTCGAGGCATCTGAAATGCCTCCAAGTGAATCTTCATCATGCCAAGGCAGCGTCAGCTGTTCTCTGCAGGAGGTTCACTAACGAGGGTCTAGGTATAGCCTTCATCCAGGAACCCTGGATACTACGCGGTGAGGTCAAAGGTCTGAACGTCAATGATGGTAAGATCATATATGCCCCCAGCCCTCACCCAAGGGGGGCGATGCTATTAAGCAAAAAACTAACGTTTCTTCCTCTATTACAGTTCATGACGGCGGATCTGGTTGCGGTTTGGGCCGAAATTCCCACTCCAAGGGGTGTACAAGAGGCAGTACTTGCCTCAGCGTACTTTCCGGGTGAGGAGGAGATGGCCCCAACAGCAGAAGTAAAGGCTTTCGTGGAGCACTGCCAGCAGAGTGGTAAACCCTGGATCCTCTGCTGTGACGCCAATTCACATAACACTGTTTGGGGCAGCACCGATACCAACAAAAGGGGTGAGTACCTCCTCGAGTTTATTAGTAGTCATAATATAAATATTATAAATCGTGGCAATGAACCGACTTTTAGAAATGCTTTAAGGGGGGAGGTCTTGGATCTAACTCTAAGCAGTCAAAACATGTCATCATCTGTCACAAACTGGCGTGTCTCCGGGGAGGTATCAATGTCGGACCACATGCATATAGAATTCGACATGGGTCTCTTTCCTGAACACGAACTAGTTTTCAGAAATCCCAGGAAAACGAACTGGGAACTCTTCCGCTTTACTATAGAAGAGGGCGGAAACAGCCCCAAACACCCCATTACAACCAAACAGGAGCTTGAGAATGAAGCTGAACAGCTTCACTCAGATATTGTAATAGCTTTCAACAGCAGTTGCCCCCAAGGAAAGGTAAAATCCAAACGAGATGTGCCTTGGTGGAGTAAGAAGCTTGAGCAAATGAGATGCCAGGCCAGAAGACTATTCAATAGAGCAAAAAATACGGGTGATTGGAATCCGTATAAACTTGCGCTAACTTCCTACAACAAGGAGCTAAGGAAATCCAAACGAGCTAGCTGGCGAAACCACTGTGAGGAAATAAATAGCCTTCCAGAGGCAGTACGCCTCCAAAAAGCTCTAACAAGGGATTACAGGAATACAATTGGCACCCTCAAGAGACCAGATGGGAGCTACACTCAGCATCCGGGTGAGACCAGCAGACTCTTGCTGGATACTCACTTCCCGCGCTGTATATCAGGCTACTGTCGACCAGAATTGGGTGCTCCAACATCCACCTCTGGAAGAGAACATAGCCTTGCTACGAAGCTGACCACTGTCGAGCGGGTGCAATGGGCTTTATCAACATTCAGCCCATACAAATCACCAGGACCGGATGGAATCTATCCATGTCTCCTGCAGCATGGAATTAGACACATAGCGCCGGTCCTTTCTAAACTCTATAGAGCTTCGCTCTTGTTGGGTCACATTCTCAGCATATGGTCTGAGGTTAAGGTCGTGTTTCTACCCAAAATGGGTAAGCCGGAACAATTACCGTCATCCTACCGACCAATTAGCCTCAGTTCCTTTCTTCTAAAAGGCATGGAGAAAATACTGGATCAGTACATCAGAGAAGTCAACCTAAGGGAACGACCTCTGAATAAGAACCAATTTGCCTATCAACCAGGAAAATCCACGGAGACTGCCATTCATAGCCTTACTTCAAAAAATTGAGAAGGCTCTGGAGTCAAAAAATATAGCCCTTTGCGCCTTTGTTGATATTTCAGGGGCTTTTGATAACACATCATATAAGGCAATAAAAGATGCCTTGTTAAGAAAGGGTGTAAGCCCAATCATAAATCAATGGGTGTTATCAATGTTAAGAACACGAAACATCAGGTTGGAATTAGGAGGCACGATAGAATCGATAACAGCCACAAGAGGATGCCCTCAGGGGGGTGCACTCTCTGCTCTTTTGTGGACTATGGTTGTAGACGAACTCCTTTTCACACTGAACAGCCAAGGCTTTAATACGCAAGGCTACGCAGATGATCTGGTAATCTGCATAACAGGGCTTCATGACGAAACTATCACCAACCGCATGCAACAAGCCCTACGTATCACACACAAATGGTGTGAGGATAAAGGCCTAACCATCAATCCTACAAAGACTATTATTGTTCCATTCACTCGAAGGAGGAAATTATCTACTACTAAACTTACTTTGAGCGGCACAGAAATAGAATTTTCCAGTGAAGCTAAATATCTGGGAGTAACTCTTGATAAAACACTTAACTGGAATGCACATTTGGACACTGTTATCAACAAGGCGATGAAGGCCTTCTTTGCCTGTTCACGACTTTTTGGTAAAACATGGGGCCTTACCCCCAAAATGACCTACTGGTCATTCAACACTGTCGTTAAGCCAATAGTAACCTATGCTTCCTTAGCATGGTGGACTAAGGCTACACAAAGAGGTGCAAGCACTAAGCTAAGTAAATTGCACAGAATAGTCTGCATTGGCATAACAGGAGCTATGAAGACCTGCCCGGCCGATGCACTCAGCGCCCTGGTTGGAATACCTCCCTTTCCTATTTTAATAGAAAGTGAGGCTACCACAACGGCACTGAGAATCCTGAACACCTCCGACCTGAAAATCGGAGATATGTCGGGTCACATGAAGGTCCTAATGAAATTCGCTAATGACCCCATACTACAAATGCGCGATGCAATGGTTCCAAAACTAGAAATCTCTAGGAAATTTGAGGTACACATTGCAGATCGAGCTCTCTGGAATACAGGGAACCCATACACCAAACCCAATGGGGAGGTTTGGTATACTGATGGATCTAAGCTTGAAAATGGTAGAACGGGGGCTGGCATTTTTGGGCCGAACTTTAAAAAAATGATACCAATGGGTAGCTACCCCACCATCTTTCAGGCGGAGATTCATGCAATAGAAATTTGTGGCAGAGAATGTCTCAGAAGGGGAACGTCATCGAAATATATCTGCATTATGTCGGACAGTCAGGCAGCCCTACTGGCCCTGAAGTCCCACAAAATAAGTTCTCAGCTAGTACATGATTGCCGCAATGTCCTAAATGCTCTTGGTGACAAGAATACAGTCTTATTAGGATGGGTACCAGGGCATGAGGGACATGATGGCAATGAGGAGGCTGACTGCCTAGCGAAACAGGGAGCTGCCGCAGTATTTTATGGTCCGGAACCCTTTTGTGGGCTCACCAAAGCACATATAAAGGGGACCATGAATAACTGGGTAGACAAAATGTTCAACAGGCATTGGATGGAATGTCCAGGGCAAAGACAAGCCAAACGATTTATCTGCCCTTCAAACGAAGTTTCAAAGAAACTAATCAATTTAGGCAGAGAGGACCTCAAAACTCTCACTAGGTACTACACGGGACACTGTTCTCTTCGTTACCACCTCAGTAAAATCAATCTTTCAGAAACAAGCGTCTGTCGCTTCCGTGAGCTGGACGAAGAAACGCCAGAACACATTCTCTGTGAATGTGATGCTCTCGCTAGGCGCAGACTAGCCCACTTTGGTGCGCTACCCTTAATCCATTTGAAATTTGGAACAAAACGCCCTTGGAGGTGCTAGGCTACATTAAGAGCCTTCCCTTATAGGCCGGGGGCCACGCACAATAGACCACTTTAGAGGTCGCGGTGCATATGGCCCATAATAATAATAATAATAATATTTCGGAGGCGAACTTCGAAAAACGGAGAAATTACTTTTTTAGCTATGACTCAATCTCTTAAAAAAAATTTGTTTGGTCCAATACCCAGCCGAGTGCCGTACAGTGTAATGATTCCATTATCTTCACTTATGTATAATGTAACTATCAATATCTTATAAGAGAAGTGTAAATTTTGTATCTAAAACTAATAAAGGTAGAAGCCCGAAATTCGAGGATGTAGTAGTTTACATATTAGCCCTTGATATATAAATTATTTTAAAGGACATTTCCAACACTTATCGACCTGGTGCACCAAAAAATTTTTTTTTTAATTCTACAGAATTTTTGCATTTAAGCGATACCCATATTGTTACTCTACAATGCACCAAAACTTTTTAATAATTTTTTTATTCAATCATATGTATCTCAGAAATTTCAAAGCCCTTTAAAAAAAATCCTGACGTCAGAGAGAAAAACTAAAAACGAAGTTATACTATATTCGGCCCCTAGTTTTGTGAATATAGAGATTTTTTCGTGTGTTTTAAAAATTTTTGGTTTTTATAGCACGGTGTTACGAAACTGTGGGTATAAAGTTTCAATCACCTCCAGATTTTGAGAAAAATTAGATCAAAGTGACAAAAAATCGTTTTTTGCAATATTTGAGAAGCTCTAGCAACAAAACAAAAGCTGGCACAACCTTCCACTTTGGCTTAAATTAAAGACAGAGCAACAAGTTAACAAGCCATACTTCGAGACGAGTTTCACTACAATTCGAGTCCTTGAAGTCGCCAAGTCGACTAAGTATTATGTTTCGGCTGCGGAAAAAGAGACGATCATTTTTTTCATAAAATTATTAACAATTAATCAAAAGAATCTAAAATGAGTCTAATTTGCGACTAGATTTCTCTACAGGGATAATATCTTCAAAAGCTCAAATGTACAATTTTACGAGAAAAAGGAACAACTACACTGCACCGTGAAATAAAAAGCGTATCAAAAATTAAAAGGCCAAAAAAACCTGCTAGGAAAAATTTACAATAAAGGCAAACTCGAGTATGTGCCCCTCAACCACCCATCTTGCCCATCATACTTTGCACACAACTACATATTTAAATATACATTGAAACGACTTGCGGGCCTCCGCATTGTTGTCGTGTTGCGGCTTATTTAGTGGGGAGATGAATTGTGAATTGGCGTTGACAGTGGCGGTGGTGGGGATGGCGGGGAATATGTAAAAAAGGAGTGCAACGTCGCCACATCACTCGACATTCAACACTCAGCAACGCCAAAGCCAACGCAACCAAACCTAGCCAACAATGAACTCCACCACCATTGTCACCGCATAGAGTGGCAATTCCAATGTGGCAAAGG